TAAACGCGGTACAAAATTTTTCGTGAAATTTCTAATGGTTTTCCTGAGGTTTTGCTGTAATAGTTGTAGCTGAGAAGTCGTCACGGAGGAAATATACTGCCTAAGAACTGTAAAAGCACCATGCGTCATTTTCTTACAACTAAAAGATAACGCCTTTGCATATTCGCCATATCACAAGAAACACCTAAATTTAAGTCGTAAAAACTCTTAGATCGTTAAAATGTAAAAGTAGATAATGAACAATGATTCCATTAGTAAGACGACGGACAATATACATAAGTAGGAAAGATTTTAGGAAAAACAAAACATAAAAACAATTACTGAAGGTCAAGAAAATCAGACTTATTATTTGCTTATTATTATTTTAATTTTAGGTGATTCTTGTAATACGGTGAATATGTTAAGGCGTTACCTTTTAGTTGTAAGAAAATAACGCATGGTGCTTTTACAGTTCTTAGACAGTATATTACCTCCATGACAACTCCTCAGCTACAACTATCACAGCTCTGACAAGATCGCTGTCAGTGGCGGTTGGGTGTCGCAGAGCGCACAGAAGCGCCATGAGAGCGACTTATTAGTAATAATAGTACAATAATACATTTTAGACTTTTCTTTTGTTTTCACGAAATGAAAAAATAAACCTTCTAAGTGCATAATATTGAAAGAAACACATCGGAAAGTACTACTTTTTTGACTACCGGAAGGAGGGGGAGGGGGGAGGGTGGGCAAGGTTGCCCCCTCCTTCTCAAATTCAAGTATACTTATAGGGGTGATAATGCTCCCTCAATTTAACTTCCTCAAAATCTCGAAAAATGTATAAAAGTGCGTTTATAATGAGAGGCTCCTAGATCTGAGGGGACTGGGGAAAGAGGGGGGAGATCTAGAGGACGACGGGGGGCAGTTTGTGGGTGGAAGAACAATTTTGGGCCTTGGTAATAGAAGACGAAGTATGAAAATCATAAAATTCTTCAAAAAACATAGAAAAAAGCATCGCAGCTATCAAATAACCATACATTCTCAATACGGGCCTCGCAGGCCCGGGTTAGTCTTTCAAGGGGTAGACATGAAAAAAAAATTGCTGTGCCTTAAAAAAAAAATTTAAACAAAATTTTGTTTCAAGAATAATGTTTTTAAGGATATTTGTAGAGTTATTTGTGAAGGACACACTTTTAGGTCAATTACAGCCGCCGTGGCGCGAAAAATAAAAAGCCGCCGGGCCTGAGAGACCCGGTTAGTCATCTAAGGGTTAACAAAAGCCTATTTTTAACTATGAGCACAATTTTTCCACACCGTAATTTTTGACTTGTTTCATGTACTGATATGTAACTTTAATCTGTTGAATTTTGGTGATGTGGCAAAATTGCGCTGGGGTTGAATGGAGACTAATTAGTCTTGGGAAATGCAGTTTTTTCAGTTTCCTCAAGTTTAGAGCTGTATTTCGTGTTGAAAGTTTAAGCTGAGAAAATGTCCAACCAATGATTTCTAAAGGATTTTGTACGCTCTTTTTGAATCTGCAATTGTTTTCTGTGTAATCAACCGTTTTTTAGTTACAGATGAAAAATTGCCAAAAAAACCCAAAAATCGTTGAAAATGTCCAGAATGACTCATTAAAACTGGGTTTAGACAATTTTCGCCTCATTGAGAAGTACGCAAAAATTACGTGTAAGCACCTTCCGCATTGATGAAGCAAAACTGTTTTGGGCTCGTCATAAAAATAAAACCATTTTTCAGACTGCTGCTTTGGCAGAAAAAAGATGCACAATCGCAAACACATTTTGCCCCAGAATGCACCTACCCTAGGGTATTTATAATATGGGCTCAAATGATTAACCATTACACGGTTTCCATCCTTTATGTGCTCATATATGTTTGAAGTATCTTTAGATAAATGTTCGCTAAGCCTTGTTTGTATTGAGCGTTCTGTCTTTCCCATGTAAAAAGCCGGGCATGAACCACATTTAATTTTGTATACACAGGCTTTATCAATTCTTTCCGGACAAAGTTTCCTATTATTTTCCTCTGTTGCATGTTCACAATTGGTTCTTTTTCTGAATTCTGGGGTGTAACCAAATCTTTTGAAAATATTCCCAATCTTATTACTTGCTCTTATTCTATTGAAATAGGTGATAGGAAGGAATCTCCTTCTTTCTAGGATGGATTTCCTAGGTTGATTTTTGCTGTCATTATTATTTAAAACAGCAATAATTTTATCAGTGATATATTTTAGGAAACCATTACTTATACTTAATTAGTGTATGATCTTAATTTCCTCTCATTGATCATTTTCACACATGGGTATGTTAAATGCTCTGTGCGCTGAACTATGAATTGCCGCATACTTATTTTGTTTGGGATGATTAGAGTCAAATGGAATTAAAAGATTTGTAGTTGTTGGTTTCCTGTAAATCTTGATAGCCATCTCGTTATTGTTTTCTACATGTATCGTAAGATCCAAGAAAGGACACTTTTCAAAATCGGCGTTTTTGCTCCA